CACACTCGTCGGCCAAACCTCCAATTCCATCTCAATAGAAACCTACGATATCGTATCGGCTCGGCGAGCGCTGCTTGATCCAATATCAATGTCGAAACTGCGAACGTGTAGTCTTGTAGCACCTTCTAGCTAGATTAGCCAAGCACCTGCCACCGGGTCTGATGCAGCCCTCTGATTCGCAGCGATTCGCAGCCATGGGGTTCACCATACTTTTGCTCACCCTTCGCCATTGCCCCTGAAGGTCAATAGCTAACACGTAACATTCGTCTGCATCGTTCCAGACACATTCCCACACTTACCTCTCCGCAACCCGCAGGTCCGCAGCAATGGTGCAGAATGCACTCCTCCCGAAGCCCCTCCCCGCCGACGCCCTCGTAGTCGGCCAACTGGTTACAGAGCCCCTACACCCCGAACGCGACTCCTTCTACCCCGATAAAGCGCACGCAGAGGTCGACGATCTGAACGACTTCCACATCCAGCTCCGCTACAAAGATCTCTACTCAGTCGACACCGAAGGCCGCTTCACGACCAACTATGGCGCGAGGTTCGATCTCGGAAAGATATACAGACAGCCCAACCTGCTCACTGTCAAGGCTGAGCAGATGATACAACGGACAACGCAGTCATCGTCGAGAGCTTTCCAAGCCGTCTGCAACGACCCCGAGGCACGCATCTGGATGGCGGAACAGATCAAAGCGGGCAAGCCACTCTACATCGTCCTCGGCCTGACCGAGCTCAAGAACGCAACCTTCAAGCGCGCCAAGTTGCGCGACGCAGGCGCCTCGAACCGCATCAACGAGACGCCCATCGAGAAGGACGCCAAGGTCCCCGGACCCCTCCGTGGCAGAGCGGAAGCCAGCTTGGGCGGAATCGGCACCGAGCCATCTATATCGGGAGTGTTTGGCATGGACGTACGCCGCGTTGCTGCGCGGCTCACGACGCCTGCGGAGCCACATCGGCTGGAAGATATTGACTACAGGTGGTACTACTACGACGTGCCGGGCTCGGTGGACAAGGAACAGTTGATGGTGGGGCTGGGAGCGCCGTTGAAGGCGAATGAACTTCGTCTGATGCTCGACCTCACAGACGATGACGTTCAGGGCAATCTTGACGCTATCAGCAAGCTCAGTCTGGACGCTTTGAGCGCCACGGCGAGCCCCATGCTTAAGCCTAGTACGCCCATGCTGAGAGGGCGCTCGCCTTCTCCTCATCCTACTATGCTACGCTCTTAGTGTCATGGGGTTGATCATGGTCGACACGTTTCGAAGTAGCGATTTGGGTTATGGATACGTATGATAGATTTACGACGAGCGTTCTGATAACACATATACGACCTTGTACGGCCTGGCACCTCTCCGCTTCTTTCGTATGTAGTAATTATGCATCTGTCCCGTTTCCGTTCCAGATAATCAAGACTTCATTTCAATCAGAGACCTGATTACCGTCACCACAATCACCAGAGTTCAAAGTCACAGTAGAAGAAATTGTTCAAAGTGAAAGTAATCGTATTAATCAAGCAAGACAGACCTGCGCTTGCAGTAAAGGTATCATAAGACAACAACCAGCCAACCGAAAACGCCCCATATCGATCGTATATACGTAACTAAGCGTGGACATGGCCATAAACAGTGGACATCGTGACAGGCTAGCAACAACGCCTTGAGGAGATCCAAACGCCAATTGGGTAATCCAAGAATTTGTGGAGAAGAAGAGGAACGAAGCAGCGCAAGTAAGCGTGGCTCATGATGCGGCGGCAGGTACCTCGCATGTTGGTAATGAAGTCTCGACGACAGCCTCGACAGCGGGTACCTCAACAGCAGCAGGAGCAGCAGCAACCTCTTCGGCTAATGTTGTCTCTTCCTCAACGGCAGCGGGGACTTGTTCAACAACAACACTCTTCTTCTTCTCAGGTGTCACACAGCTAGCATCGAATACGTTTGACAGACGCGAGGGCTTCTCGATTCCAGCATCGACAGTGACGTACGAGGTAGCGTCACAGCCTTCAGCATAGAACTCACTCGGTGCAAGGTCACCCAATGGCCTCCGGTCCTCATCCATGGCATCTTGGACAATCTTGCGAAGACGAGGTTGCTTGACAGGCATATCGGCTAGGATATCAGTCTCGTAGCCGTCGTCGAAGGAAGACGCGTGGTTGCGCTTGCGAGTTTGCTGAGCGAGGAAGTCTGGTGGCGGGACGTTCTCCTTGCCGCGGTCTTCGTTGCTGGCCTTGGTCTTTGCGTCATCGTCGGATGATATGTCGAGGACAGATGCGGAGTGCTCCATAAGGTTTGCGGCTTCCTGCTCGGGCGTGTCCTCGTGGATCTCGAAGAACCAGCTCTTAGGCATGCTGTCATCGACGATTGGGGTCTGCGGGGCGGGTGCTGAAACAGGCGTGGCGGCTACGGTGGGGGCCTTGGGTGTGTAAGTCGAGATGGAGCCGCTGAGGGCTGCGTCGATGGAGAAGGGTAGGCTGGGGCTGCTCTGCGTAAAGGATGGGGGGTCGACGCGTCGGAAGGGCGAGCTAGATGCGCGACGCTTTGAAACGGCATGGAGACGCTTGTTCTTGGGCGAGCCGCGGCTGGTGGAGATGGGCGTTGACTTGGCAGTATTGGGTGACGAAAGTGCTTTGCGCACAGACGGGACGGAAGGCGTCGCATTGAGGCTGCTGGCACTGGGCTTGGAAGGCGAGGTGAAAATGGAGAAGTTGGCCGGCTTGATGTATCCTGCATCGCTGTGGCTGGCTGTCTTGGACTTCTTGGTTGGGCTGTTGAAGATGGACGGGTCCACGTTCTCGGAGTCGGCATCTTCGAAGATCTCGGGTGCGCGCTGGCGCTTACCCGTCGATGGCGTAGGAATTGACTTCAAGCCCTGCGGAGCCGCAAAGTTTGGTGTAAAAGCTGTCGCATACGCGTTTAGTGGATGTAATAGCACGTGGAGTGAAGCTATTTACCATTCTGCCTGTTCTTCGCGCTCTGGAGTACCTGGAGACGTGACGAGCCAAGCTCGGCAAACGGCTGGCGCGTAGAGGTGGCCATGGTAGAGACTGTCGGTGATGTTGTGATAGCGATTGAAATGATGTGAAGAAGGTATATCGGCCCGAAAGATCAATTGACGCGATTGAGGTATGTGGGTAGTGGTGTTGTAGGTGATTGTCGTTGGGACGGAAGGTGCGAAAGGTGGGGTGGTAATCGTATCTCGTTTGAGCTGGAGCGCGCGACTAGGTCCAAGGCGGCAGACCGAAAACAAGAACAACAACAAATGTCTCGACTACGACTCTAACAGTGTTTAGAGGAAGCTGAGTCAACGACAGAGAACTTGGACACGATCAAGTCTGAAGAGAAGAGATGGGAGGAAGAAGGATGCGAGACTGGGTCATGAAGCTATTACATGGGCGCACTCAACGCGTCCCCAGTCTCCCTCCAACTTAGCGTGTCCATCACGCACTTAGGGGCCGCCTCCCACAATCGCGTCCGTCTTCTCCACTCAGACCAGGATCATGTCCCGAAACTATCATGCAAAACTGGTTTTAACCCTCCAAGCCCCGGCATGTAATGCAGTCTATTGGCCAGGAAGCTCCGGATCCACCTGCAGTGTCACTTGCGCCACCAAAACGCGACTTTGCGCGCTCGCGATATGGACGTGAACGCTGGTTCGATTTTGCGCGTTCATCCCGGCCTTGCAGCGTGCTGAGGCATAGTGCGTGCAGTAGAGACGCTGTCCGAGGCTTCTTGTACGTTGGTCTGCGTTTGTCACTTGTCACAGACATGTCATGGTGTCATAGGTGGTTGGCGACCCGGTGAAGTCCGGACCATCTGCTGGTCTTCGAGCATCGCGTTGGTGTTTCGACGCGCACCTATATGCAGCGGGGTTCCCTCTGCTCGACGCGATGAGGCAGGATGCACGCGAATTTGCTGGATCATGCATGTCGAGCTGACTTCTTGTTGGCTTTCAATGCTGACTGCTGATGCGCATATTAATTGTCATGCATCCCTTTAGTTATAGCAGATTGGCAATCCCGTGGAGCATTTTCAAACTTGCAGCTAGTGTTTCTGATGGTTCTGTATGCTCTAGCAGCTGATTAAAAGTTTCTTTCCATTGCAATGTCTCCGTTTGCTTTTTCCTTTGCAGTCACGTCGCGTCGTCGCGTCTTCCCGAGGTCTGCTTACTCCCAGCCGTCACCACTCTGCCTGGAGGCCCTGCTCCCCGCGCGACTCCCCACTCGGACTGGAATGCCACCCCAATTGTCATTTAAGTATGTCGCATTGTCCTCATCGAAGCCATTCGCAGAAGCTCCCTTGCCCTTATCTCCGTCATCCCAGTCATCACCATCGCCATAGTTGACATGAGCTTTTTCCCCATTCCAGCTCGTTTGACTGGCGGCACGACTACCAGGCCACCCGGTCGCAGCGTCAGGCTGATGGGAGTTCTGGCTCCTATAGCTAGTCCGACTGCCACCAGCCCAGCCTGATTGGGCGTCTTCCCATCCAGTAGTTTTTCTGTGTCTGTTAGTCTTGTGGCTAGTACGGGTGTCGTGACTTCGATGAGACCGGTGTGTAGACGGCTGACTGGAAACTCGACTTTGATTTCCTAGAGATCCGCGTTCACTATTTGTGCCGACGACACCGGCATCACTAGTCCCTTTACTTATTTCGAAGCCATCCCATGCAGTATTGCTCGGAGGATGCGTTGGACCGCCAACACGTGAAGTCGTGGGGCTGTTGACTACGCTCTGGGAAGTAAAGGGTTCAATGCCAGTCCAGGCAGGATTGTCGGCGGCTTTAGGCCTATTGCTCCAGCTTTTCTCGCTGGGAGATTTGGTGCTTCCCCATGTATATGGGTGAGGATTGTTTAGAGGTGAAGCCCATCCAGCTGTCTTGTCTTTCTCTTCGCTGTTCTTCTTGTTGGCATCCCAGTCATGAGAAACGTTGCTCTTCACACTGCCTCCCCATCCAGTTGCAATGTGATCTTCTTTCTCTCTCGAAGAGTCACTGGGCGCATCTTCAACTGTAGGCGCTCTGTAGGTCGAATGGCTCTTTACCGAAGTATTGTCGAAGTCTTTCGTTGACTTTCGTGCCTTGCCGCTCCTACTGGTATGGTGCGATCTGTCACTCTTGTGTGAATGACTTGGACTGGCAGCTTTCCACGCACCCTCAAACTTCCCTCCGTCCCAAGACCTTTCTGAACCTGCCTCACGATTGTCCTTAACTGGAGACAGTTCGGGAGACGGCCATCCTCCAGGTGGTGAACGCACAGGTGATGATCTCTTCTCTTCGACCCATGAGTCCGACTTTGGAACAACTGGTTTGTAGCCCCTTGAGGCTGGTGTGACGTATCTAAATCCCTCACTGATAGTCTTGAGCGGTGAGCCTGGGGCTATGTACTCGTAGCCATCGCTCACTGATATAGCTGGAGAGGCAATAGATGTAGGCTTGCTAGAAGGCCAGCCACTGGCACCACCTGTCATCATAAACCCCGTTGGCGACCCTATATTCTCGCCGTCATAAGGCAAGTAGCCGTCTTCGTAGTCCGACTCAGGGATAGGCGTGAGGGCTTTTGGTGGTGAGTGGTGTGATTGGCGAGACTTCTTATCCTTGTCCTTCTTTTCACTTTTAGTCTTCTGCTTCCGGCTGTCGCCTGAGGGTTCCTTCGACGGACGGGTCGAGTTGCGATGTTTCGGTGGCGATGGGGCAAATGAAGTGCGAGCAGGGGAGGCTGGTTCGATAGTTGACGCTGCTTTGACCCATGGTCGCTGTTGCTCACTGACAGCCTTTTGTGGTCCAGAGTCGAACTCTCCGTCCTTGTCCACGACGATAACCCTGCCATCCTCTGCTTTGATGACGAACGTCCCCCATTGAGGTGGCATAGGAATCGTTACTGTATCCTTTTTCTTCTCTCCTTGTCCGCCAGCTGTCTCGTTCGTACCCTGATTGCGACCCGATTTCTTCACCTGTAGTCCGCCTAGACCTCGGATCTTCTCCAAGTTCCGTTGTATATCTCCACTAATCGCCTTTTGCATGTCTTTGTTCCACATCGTCCCTGAACCATGCTTGGGCTCTGGTCGTTTTCTCTGCTTGTAGAAGCGTGTATCGATTGGGCCAAAGCCTGGGTCCGCTTCCGGAGGAAGGTGCATGTCCGCGCCGTCATCGATGAAACTGCCGGTATAGGCTGAGGTGTCTGAGCTGTTGCTGGTAACCCACTTCGCGACATGGCCGTGGTCAAGACCGCGAGGCGTGCGCTTCGTGAAAGAGCCGCCATCGTCGACAAAAGATTGGGGGGTTATCGAGCTCATGTTCGCATTGTAGTCGTATGGCTGGAGTTCGGGAGGAGCGCACGATGGACACTTGCAAATGTATGTGTTGCAGACAGAGTTACTGCGATTTGCAGATCTGCGTACAGCGGGGCGAATGAAGAAGCGTCGGTGTGGTGAGGACTTTGATGACGGCATATTGTCCACAATAGTGGAGCAGAGGTGAAGGTGAACAGCCTTTTGCCTGCCGCATGATAGACACACAACGACAACGAAGGTACGATATGCAGAGCGACGAGACATGTTTGCAAGACACGACAGACACAGAGACATATTGAGAGACTTGAAAACATTTACCGTGACACAGCGCCCGTGCTGCCAATTGCTAGAATACCTATGCGCACATCCAACAAACACCAACACGCACCAGCACCGACCCTCTGTTACCCTCGAAGCAAAGGCATCTGAGTCAACGCATCAGCCCACCTTCTATAGCTTCGCCTTCTCCCGCTTTTTCTCCTGTTCCCACTGTAGCTGCACGTTGCGCATCCTGTACCAGCTCAACGCGCCAGCCATGGCTCCAAACGGCGGGAAGGCCCAGAGGAGGAAACTCCACCATCGCGGGCTGTTATTCCTGACGTCCTGCATGACTCTCTGTATCTCCTTCTCTAGGTAACTCCTGTCGTGATCATTCCAGACTACGACGCCATTTCCCGGACCTCTCCGCAAACAGCGCTCGGCCTTTTCGCGCACGTCACCTTGACTCATGACGCGATTGCGCGCATCCTCTTCGGTAAGATGAGAGTCGCGATCTCGCAGACGCTTTATTTGTATCGCAGGGTCCGAGACGCCGACAACGAGAATGGTACCGCAGTAGCGTTCCCAGCCACTTTCGAAGAGGAGAGGGACGTCTAGCACGACAGCCCAGTTGCCGCGCAGATAGGCCCACACCATCTGTCGGTACATCTCCTTGCGCACGGCAGGGTGCACGATGCTGTTCAGCTTCTTCCTGTCGCGCTCCTTCTCTTCTCCACCGCCAAAGACTCTCCGCCCCAGTGCTGGCCGGTTCAGCGGGCGTCCTTTGGGTGTCGCATCGGGAAGGAGGAGGTCGGGCGTAGTAGGCAAGAAGTGTTCGACGATGGCATTGTAGCCCGGAGTGCCAGGTTCGACGACTTGTCGCGCGATGAGATCGGCATCTACGATGGGGAGCGAGTAGGGCGACTTGGAAAGGATAGACGACACGGTCGACTTGCCCGTCGCGATGGAGCCGGTGAGACCGAGGAGAAGCATCGTGAGCTAGTCTTCTATTGGCGAAATGGTATTTATGTCTGTAACTGCAAGCCCGGTTATAAGGGCTTGGCTGTTGATGTTGCTTTCACATGGCGGGTGCGTGAGAGATGGGATGACGATTGCGGGGACCAGAGAGTTCGTACCTCGGAGGTTAGCTAGCACGGGCCTCATAATCAGTCCATGGTTCGCATTGAGCACTGCTTACTCAAGAGCTTCATGCAATGAGACAGTGGTATGTTGTAACGGACGCATTCTGATTTATGTTTCTACGGAACTGTATTCGGAAAAGAATTCGAGAAGGATATCACTAAGCTGTTGCGCCCAACACCAATCTCATGTTCTCACTTTGCTCCACCACCACTCCGTTATGATCAACGTTCACGGCCGCTACGAAGGCGAGCATCGAGAACTGTTTCGTCTGCGAGTGTGTTCCATGGAGGAGAATCAGAAAGCTCGGAACTCTCAGAACGTCTAGAAACCTCTTCTTCTGAAGCCTCTCCCGCGCTTTCAATCACCTGGGAATCACCGGGCGGAGAAGGCTCCTCGGGTGCCGAAGTCGTTACCGCAACCTGCAAACACCCTTGGGTTAGCCACCTAGAAAGGAACAGGTCTAGAGGATGAGGGAGCTCAGTCTGAGACCTCTCCATGGTTCACAGTCTTGTTAAGCGGCTCGACAAGTTTGCGCGCAGGGCGGAAGATCTGCAGCTGGTTGTCCTCGGCAGCACCCATCATGAGCCAAGGGTCGTTCTTGTTCCAGTCAAAGTCGCAGATTCGGTTGGTGAATCCACCGTGCATGAACAATCTGTGAAAAGTTAGTACAAGAGCCGGACATAGGTTCGGAACAACTTACAGCTCAGGGGGCCCATCTTCTTGCTCATCCTCCGTCTGTTCAGAGCCTATCTTACTGAAGTCCCAGAGGAGGACACGGCGATCGTAGCTAGAGCTGGCAAGGATAGCAGCGTCTTGCGGGTGCCACTGCAGACCGATGACATCTGAGCGATGGCTCTGCAGGCTGTGTATCTTCTTGTCGATGTTGCGAAGATCCCAGATTCCCACCGATTTGTCGGCAGAACCCGTCGCAAGCATCGAATCGAACTCGGGGTGGAACGAGATGCAGTTGACCGCGTCTTCGTGGGCTTCCTTCCTGTACAGCGCCTTCTTGTATGCCTCCTGACGAGTATCGATGACTTGCCAGGTAAGATCGTCTGACGCAGTACCGATGAGCTGGTGGTGGATTGGGTGGTATTGGACATCGTTGACGGTTGCGCTGTGGATGTTGTATGTTGCCGTCGGGCTGATGGTCTTGCTGTTCTTAGAGAAGCCACTCTTGATGTCCCATGTCTTGACTGTAGTATCTTCGTTACCAGTCACCAGATGTCCTTCTTTCAAAGGACTCCAGCTCAAGCCAAAGCCCTCTTTGCTGTGACCCACAAGCTCCGCCTCGAACTTGATGGTGTCATCCTTTGGTTGCAACGGATGCTTGGTCCGGTCGAAGATAAGCACCTTGCCATCGACACAGAGCGACGCTATGATATCGGGATTCTGAGGCTGGTAGCGGGCCTTGTTGACCTCGCCGGGGTGGTTGATCTTCTGCACAATCTTGAAGTCAAAGGGTCGCTTCGCATTGCCGTGGCCGCCAATCTCTCCCCGTTCCTCGTTGAGCTCGGTAAGGTCTGGAACGCGGGCGTCTGGTATCTCGCAGTGGGCGATTTGGAGGTAGTTCTGGGCTTGGTTTGACGTATGGGTGCCAAGGATGACGCGGTGCTGGCTCATGTTGGTGCCTTCGACGGGCTTCTTGTCCGGTAGCCATTGCGTTGTGAGCGTCGGCCACTCGAGCGCGCGGCCGTACAGCATATCGTAGAGGAAGACACTGTTCTTCTTCCACATCTTGTACTCCTCGTTGATGATCTTCTGCTCGGTCTGTTCTTGGTCGTCCATCTCGCGGGAATCGAGAGCGTCTGTCGGTGGAATTAGTATCAGGCGTTGGGGCACTTCAAATAATTTAAGAGACGTGGGTGACTGTAGGAATCCGGTAGCGAGCTTGGATGCCATGCGCCGACTGTATCGATGCGAATGGTAAAGCGAAGCTTGCTGTTGGTCGGCATGACGCTGTCGCGGACCACACTTTCCAACAGGAAATGAACTTACCGCTCATAGTCTCGTCCATGATGTGTTTGCGATCGTACTGAAGGTCAAGGACAAAGTGTATTGTGTGGAATGCTGCGTGTGTAAAGCGTGGAAGAGGCACGACGCGCTCCCAAAAGTCGCGTTTGGACCAACCCCGATGTCGATCTCTTAGCGCCCCACCTGCTTGGCAGTCGCCGCCAGCATATGCATTGCGTCGATGAGCAAGACTCCGACTCTTTGAAGACCCCAGCGTCGAGAACCACCACCCCATACTCTCTCTCGCCCTCCCACCCACAGCGCCTTTGCGCGCTTCTCCCTGTCACATCTTCCTCCTGGTCGCCCTCTTTGCGACTCTCACCCCCGCCACTTGTACACACAAGGTGCATCGCCGCCTCACCACCATATCCATCCATCTTCAGCTATTCCTAGACAGTAGCAATCATGGGTGTCCCCAAGTTCTTTCGATGGATGTCCGAAAGGTATCCCGGTATTTCGCAGCTCATTGCCGAAAACCGCATCCCCGAATTCGACTGTCTCTACGTGGGTACCCGTGTGTCGCAATTGATGCGCCTAGCTAACAGTCACAGCTTGACATGAACGGTATTATTCACAATTGCACCCACAACGATTCCGACAGCGTCACGGCGCGCAAGTCCGAAGATCAGATGTTCATCTCCATCTTCAACTACATCGAGCACTTGTTTGGCAAGATCAAGCCCAAGCAGCTCTTCTTCATGGCCATCGATGGTGTCGCCCCACGCGCCAAGATGAACCAGCAGCGTGCACGACGTTTCCGAACCGCTCTCGATACTGAAAAGGCTCGCGAGAAGGCTATCCGCGAAGGCGTAGAGATGCCGACGGAGGAAGCGTTTGACAGCAACTGCATTACGCCAGGCACTGCCTTTATGGCGAAGCTCACGCAGCAGCTCAAGTACTTCATCAACAAGAAGGTCTCCGAGGACATAGATTGGCAGGGCGTGGAAGTCGTACTGTCTGGTCACGAGGTTCCCGGAGAGGGAGAGCACAAGGTCATGGAGTACATCCGTCAGGCCAAGGCACAGCCGGGCTACGACCCGAACCGCCGCCACTGCCTGTACGGTCTCGATGCCGACCTGATCATGTTGGGTCTGCTCAGCCACGATCCCCACTTCAGTTTACTGCGTGAGGAGGTGACGTTTGGTCGCCAAAGCCAAACCAAGTCCAAGGAGTTGGAACACCAGAACTTCTACCTCATGCATCTCAGCATTGTGCGAGAATACCTGGAGCTTGAGTTCCAGGAACTGGAAGAGCCCGGAGCTCTCAGCTTTCCGTTCGACATGGAGCGTGTTATTGACGATTTCATTCTTATGGCTTTCTTTGTTGGCAACGATTTCCTTCCCAATCTTCCACATTTGCATATCAACGAGGGCGCTTTGGCCCTCATGTTCAACGTCTACAAGACTGTCCTGCCCAAGGGCAAAGGATACATCAACGAGGAGGGTGTCATCAACATGGAGCGCTTGGCTATCTTGTTGGATGAACTCTCAAACATCGAATACCGTCATTTCGAATCTGAAAACTCCGACGCCGCTTGGTTCAAGGGTAAGAAACTTGGAAAGGAAGATGTAATGGTGAAGACGGCGAAG